CAATCTTGTACCTTGCCTTTGTCATGAAGTCAAGACAGATGCATGCAGGTGTTCAGCGCGACACACGGAACACAGACCTCCAGCATAGTCACATCACAGATCCACGGCTCGGCTCCCATCTTGAAAAGGAAGCACTATCAGATGCCATTCTGTTCGAAAACGAGCAAGAAATGGGTCCCGGTCCAGGTCACACGCCTCAGCTTGCAAATCCCTCGGGCCATTTCGGTGATCCAGGCACAACTCTCAATACCCTAGCCACCTTGCTTATTCTCTGCAAAGCCTACATATCATCGGGCAACTCGCGCTCCTTGCTGATCTGCCTAGAAGAGGCTTTCATTTTAGCAAAGAAGCATTGGTCGAAATTATTCTCAAACCAGGAGTTTATATTCCTAATCCGATGTCTTGGCTATATGCATACAACTGCGATGCTCAGCCCTGGAGATTATAAACTTAACGCCCCAGACTTCCTCACCATCATATCAAACCACGAAGGCTGTATGACGCGACGCAAATCGGCCGGTGACATCAGGTTGGCATCTACGTACAATTCCATTGTACTCGAGACTGAGGCAGAGGCAGAGGCACGCAGCCAACGCTTAGAGGCTTCGGCCATCAAGAAGCTCCACCAAGAGTTCCAGTCGTCCTGCTTCGGAGATGTCGATCCCACCACAGGCATCTCAAATACGGTCGCCGCCCTCCTGTATAACATTGGCCGACTTAGTCGGCTCAGATCTGCGGCACTTGACGTGGATCACGAAAACTACTGGTTCTGGGGGACATTTGAGTCCGACCTAGACAGCCTTGACATCCAGCTGCAGCAAATATTACACCACCGGGCCGAGCGCGCCCAGATCTTTCAAGCTTCGGCTCACAGGCTAGGTCTCCTAGGCGACGAGCACCAAGTCGGCGACCTACAATCCACCATCGACCTGACACGATATAACGACGCATTGGTTCACTGCGGACGGATCATTTTCTTGGAACGTATTGCATGTGTTAATGGGCCAGTCGTAGAAATCTCTTTATCCGTGCAAAAGATTCTGAGCCTCTGTACATTGATCCCTGATTCGTCGCATACTGCTAAGCTGCTGGTGCTTCCTCTTTACACCGCAGGGTCATGGGCCGACACTGTCGAGATGCGGTCTTACGTCCGATCAAGGTTGGAGTTCCTTAGTAGCAGTAATATCGTGGCCAACACCCGAACAGTTCTCAAGAGATTGGAGACAAAATGGGAGAATGTATCGGTCACCGCATCAGACACGTTTGATACGCTGCCTGAGGAGAAAGGTAAGCAGCTGCTCTGATACAACATGGCCATGATACTAACTGCAATGTTTCTATGCTTGAAGGTATTTGTGTGTTATACTAAATCTTATGCAAGCTCCGTCACCCTAAGACCTAACGCTTCGAGGGTGACTTTCTTTAAACATCATATTCTCTTTCCATATGTAAAGATCCTGATATCTCCTATGTCTGGTAATAGATACTCAAAGTACGGCCCTGGACTGTGTCCCCAAATCATGCGTAACTTCTCCGCGTCGCGGGGCGGCCCACCAGATGGTATAGTGGCTCTATCCAGTCAGACACGATTTGTCCATTAGCTAGTCAGTTAGAGATAATTTGTAGGAGAATCGTAAAGTGAATTCCAAATCATCTATAAATATTTCGCAATATAAACTCTCACCATCAACATAGCCTGACTTCTGGCAGGGCTGGAACATATTAGCAGTTAGTCCATGTTCTGTCAGAGACAATCTATACAGAAGGTTCATAGCATAGTCAAGTAGTTGATTAGTTTCTATAACTTACTTTCGAACCATACATGCGTTGTAGCCATATATAAGTATGTGGATTTTATCGAGCCTCAGCGGGAGAAAGGTCTCTGGCCATGGCCTGAGCTGTCTAGGGGCAATCCATGTGGTCTCCCAGTCACTGTTCGGGCTGTGAACGAAGCAGATGTCGATCGTGGTGTCGGGGCAGTCGTGAAAGGACGAGTTGGAGAGGTTATCGGGCGGGTCGGTGTAGATACCGGTGGGTAAGGTCTGATTGGGGTAGTTTTATCGCACATGAAGGTCATAGTGGGTGCAAATAGGGTTCCTGCTGTCATATTGCTTATTACGGTCCTAGGTACTCAGTCAGAGAAGTAGTAATGCGGGATCGCCACTTGGCGGATCAATCTGTTAGGCTGCAGGGTTCAATCTAGGGCTGATAGACGCTGGAAGCTGGGGAGTCCGTAAATTAGAATGAGCCTTATCAATCTAGTCAAAATCCAGGTCTTCTATGATATTACAGTACAGCCTTTAAATCAATAACTAATAATATAAAGAAGGAGGATTACTATACTCTTTCCTACTTCCTGCCATAGAAGGCGAGAAGGAGGGGGTAGGTAAGTGTCATATAATAGAGGTATAATCATCAAGGTCACTTGTATATATTATGTGTATATCTGCCAGGCCTTGGTGCAGTCTTTACTACCTACTTATTCTCTGGTATATAGGTTACCAGGTAGTCTATACTATGTCAGATGATCAGATATTTTATTTATTTAGCTTATAAAATAATTTATGAATCCTTAGTCTTTAAAGCCTACTATATCATATACTCTCTTATATATCAACCTATCTATTATATATTAAGAGCTAGACTTATTTATTTATTCGCTAAATTAATTATTCTATCTTTAGTATCTTTATAATCTTCTATTATAAGATCCTTAAGTTCCTAAACTCTTTATTCTTTTAGACAATCTATCTAATTATATATTCTTAATTGCTTTAATAGTATATTTTATTTTCTAAAAATAAATACTTTAGTCAACGTACATGCATAGCGAACGAGCTACTACATCGCACCTACCCAACTTTTAACTTCAACTACAAATATCTCAACAACAACAATATAAAACTAAAAGATAACGAGCGTCAAGTTATCTCAGCCCTCCAGGCTATCCAAAATGGTCAGAAACTAAGCCTTCGAGCTACAGCCAAGATCTACTCTATTAACCGCAATAAGCTAGGTCGTCGCATATATAGTATTAAGCTACAACGCAAAATCTCTACGAATTTATAGAAATTAGATAATCTAGAGAAAAGTATAATTGTTTAATATATTTTAGAGCTAGTTTCCAAAGGATTTACTTCCCAGCTTATTAATATTAAAGAAATAGCAAATCAACTTCTCGAGTTATACGACATATAATACGTCAGATATAACGATCCTTTCTATTAGTGCTTCGATAGGTAACAAAGGTCCTTAGGTTTATATCCTAAGATAGGCCGAGGGGTATTTAAGTAATATTTATAAAGGTAGGTGATTATAACTAGTTAGGACTAGTTAATTATGAATCAAACGATAGTATTAAAAGCTAAAGAGCTACTCTCTTTATCTCTAGGCTTATAGTTATAAGTATAGTCTTATATAGAACTATAGGATATTAGATTACTCCCTTTGTGATCCTTATACTATGGCTCACTCCTAGCTCACTGTGATCCATTCGTAATCCTTCTTATCTTATCTACACATAACCTATGTTTCTGCCTTGTCAGGCCGCCATCCGCCTTCCGCAGGGTGGTTACATTTCTGGCCGTAACATTTAGGAACTATACTTAAGTATGAAAACTAGTAAACAAAAAAAGAAATCGTAGATGCTATTAGTTAATGAAGGTTGCCATCGTTTGATTTCTAACCTAGTGCCTCCTTGAGATGCATGACAATTGAAATCATCCTATCGAAAAATAGGATACCTTACAGGTCTCGTATAGGTATCACGCCATTTTCAGTGCACATATCTAAACAAAACAATCCCGTCGCCTCCATACCCAGTCTTAGAAGCTCTTATATAAGCATGGCTGACTACGCCACGACGCTCCTCTGCCTCGAAATTCCTGTTCTGTGCTTCAAGATAGTATTTAATACCAAGAGCCATGACAGAACACACTAAGCAAGCTCCACTCATAACAGCCCCACCGATATAGTAGCGAGGCTTCTGGAAGTCCGGAAATATATACGAGGTGTAAAAATGTGCTACTCCAGCAACCATAAAGTTCACAATGGCGAGCATAGCAGTGCGTTTTGCATATAGTCGAGGTAGAGAGAAGCTGACCCAACTTATATAAAGATTATATAGCGAGAAAGCATCTCCTCTTATAAGAAACATTGAGAAATATTGGCCACTAGTAGATGGTACAAACATCGCCTTAGACCAAGTCAGCCACAAGCGGTTTCTGCAGAGAGAAATTCAAGACTTATAAGGAGATTTCCCAAAAGAGCAAATACTATTAAAATGGCAATATAGTAGCTGTGTTTATGCTTGTAATTGAAAATCAAGCGTTCAGAACACAGAGCAGTCTCTTCGTTTTCTAGTGAACTTGAGACTCCCCCTCTTCCTCGGAGTCAGATCGCTCCGTCAAGGCACTAATAGTCAGCCCTACAATAGAAAGTTAGGCTAGCAGTGCGCTATTTAGTTGGGCGAACACAGTGGCAGTGCCTGCGCGATGGCAAGGACTCCGAGTGCGCCACACTTTGGATTGGTGAGCTTTTTCGACTTGGCGCCTCCCTGCCGACGATACACAGCCAATGGAAGTATTGCAACCAGCTTTCCTGGAATGAATAGATTCATCTTGGCGTCACCTGAGATGACCATGGCTGGGACTGGTGTGGGCTACTTTCCCAAGAGGCGGACTGAGGTCTGACGGGCCTGCATTCAACTGTTGCCGGTTCCCCTTGCACCGGCTACAAGCCCATGGGATAATTCGCTGAGGCCTTGATGCGAGTAAGTCAAAAGCATGACAGCCCACAGATCGCCAGATGGCCATCGACAAATAGGCGATGGCGCGAGTACGGCTGAGGGCGCGACGAACCAAAGCTCGCAGACGGATCGTCGAAATTGGGGAGTTGGTCGGACAGCGCTCTTCAACTTTCTCTCTAGGAATGAGCCGATTGTCATTCGCCCGTCAGGAGTTGGCAGGCATGAAGACGACACTGTTACGGGCTCGATTAACATGTATTCGCAAATGAGAGCGGCCGTGATCAACGCTTGCCCGACCCACGAGGGCTGCGACGGCACCTGCGCCGGTGGCCCACCCAGCTCCGCCCGGCCTGTTCTCTTCGGAGCGCCCGCCTCCACCGTGCAGAGGCAACAGTCGGGTCCGGCGTTCACGCACGGCCGCACGCAAGCGATCACGCTTGGGGATACTCTCGGCGCCTACCGCTATACGCGGCTTGCGCCAGGGACCATCCGCCTACTGAAGGTGCACAAGGCAGTGTTCCGAGACGATGCAGTCGTGTGCGAGGTTGTCGTCTGCCCGCTGGACGACGCCCCGCAGTATGCCGCGTTGTCCTACTGCTGGGGGACTGAGGGCAACGAGTGCAAGATTCTGCTTGTCCCCGATGGCAAGGTCTTCGCGGCGCGGAGGTCTCTGGAAGCGGCCTTGAAGAGATTCCGCGCCGCAGCCGACTCTGCACCACTCCATGCTAGGGAAGACTACCTTTGGGCTGACGCCGTCTGCATCAACCAGAAAGACAACGTGGAGAAGACTGAGCAACTTCTGATGATGGAGCACATCTACAAGAGGGCCGAAGCCGTGTATGTTGATTTTGGAGACGAGCAGCCGGAGTGGCGTTCTACGTATAGCCTCATGACGCGGGCCGCGGTCGCTGCAGAGAAATCGCCGCCAGCGTACGATAGCCTACCCTCTGAGAATGACGTCTCGTATATGCACTACTGGAGACTATTCGCGAGGCCGTGGTTCACACGTACGTGGATTGTTCAGGAGTTCGTCCACGCGAAGCGCGTCATGGCCATGCTCGGCCCTTGCATCTTCTGGTGGTACGAGCTGGAACTGTCCTTCGCTCTTCTAATCTCTAAGCTTGAGGCTGTCCCGCTTGGCCGCTACGGAATGTCTGCGGCAGAGCAGACGCAGATCAGGCGTGGCATCCAGAATTACCTTTCCATTGAGCAGATACGAGAGAGCATTGAGGCAGGCCGGCCCAACTCAATTCGCTTCATGGAGTTGTCCCGGAGGCTTTGTGTCACCAAGGCCAAGGACAAGATCTTTGCGCTCCTCTCTTTGTTTCCAGAAGACGAGAGAGCCGCGTTTGATGACTACTCCATACCAGCCTACAAGATCTTTGTTCGCTTCGCCATCGCCCAAGTTGAGAGGAACAGGGCTGTGCAAACGCTCGATCATGCTGGCCTCGCAAGACGGCGTGGAAATATCGGAGGGCTTCCGTCTTGGGTACCCGACTGGACATTTACGAGTGAAACTGACAGTCCGAAGAAATTTGCCGTTCAGAACAAGTCATCGTCTTCTGGCTCCGGATGCCCCCGCGCCCAAAACGGAGCGATCTCTAACGGCTGCCTAATTCTCGATGGCTTTACAATCGATACACTACTAGTGGTACAAGACAGCCCAATATTTGACCTACGAGCCCGGGGTACAACAAGTTTCTTCGATCGAGGAGGCATCAAACGAGCCCGGTGGGCTTTACAATGGTACCATGGGCTATGTGCGTCGGCGTACTCAGACCCCAACCGAGAATTCGTCAACCTTTTAGCACGACTGTGCAAAGCTGCCGATACCAACAAAGCAGAAGGTGATGACGTCCCGACAGTTCCTGATCTGTTGGAAACGTATGAGGAGTTCATGAGCATGTCGATCGATGAGTTGCGGAGGGCCGATCGAGCGGGCCATATGTGGCGTTTCTTGCTAGCTGTGCGGGAGTGTCTGGGGCTGACATTCTGCATTACCAACAAAGGATATATGGCACTAGTACCATCTGTTGCAAAGGCAGGTGACAAGATCGTCGTCTTTGCGGGACGAGAGGTTCTATTTCTGATCAGGTATGAGCCGGAGAGGGAAGGGGCATTATTGGTGGGAGACGTATATGTTCATGGCATCACAGCCAGCGATGCGTTAGCATTCGACGGTGTCTCCAAGACCCAGATCGTGTTAGAGTAACTCTCACCTGCTACGGGATATGCTGCAGCATATCCTCTGGTTTTGTATGGAGTGTATGGACGAAAAATAAAAGATAGGAGGTAGATATCCTAGCCGTCCATCCCCAGATGCAGGCTAACCTATCCGTTATATGGAGCTAGCCAGCGAAAATGGCGGGAGGATAGACAATATTTCCCTATTAATCTAGAGGGTTAGACTGTATTTGCAGAGAGTCCTCAAGGACAAGATAAAATGCAGTCTATCTACGACTAGGGAAATCAATATATCTAAGACGAGAATTATATATTCTATCTTTAGCTTTTAATAGTTTTAAAATCTTAAAAAGAATGATAAAAATAAGATAATATAAAGATTAAGCTTTAGTTAAGTCTGACAATATATATATCTGTTAGTAATAATGTTTAATATATATAATATAATAAATGATAGATTAAAGGTTATATCTTCTTATTTTTAGGATTTTGATTTTAAGAAATTTATATAATATTTTTATATTATTATATTATAATATAATATTTAAATATAATATAAAAAGAAAAGATTTTATAATAAAAAGTTATAATTTATAAAGTTTTTTTCTAAGTTTATTTATAAGATTATTATTATTTAAATGATAGTAATATATAAAGCTTTAACTAGATTAATTTTAATAATAGCTTTTAAATAGTTTTTTAATAACTTCTTTCTTACTAATAATAATCTTATAAATAGTAAAAACTATCTTTATCTTACTAACGATAGTTTTTATACTAACTTAAAGTATTATTTATATCTAGTTATTATATTTTCTAGCTTACTTAAGATAGCTTCTTTCTTACTAATAATAATCTTATAAATACTAAAGACTATATTTATCTTACTAACGATAGTTTTTATACTAACTTAAAGTATTATTTATATCTAGTTATTATATTTTCTAGCTTACTTAAGATAGCTTCTTTCTTACTAATAATAATCTTATAGATATTAAAGACTATCTTTATCTTACTAACGATAGTTTTTATATTAACTTAAAGTATTATTTATACTTAGTTATAATATCTTTTAGCTTATTTAAGATAGCTTTATATTTACTAACAATAGTTAATCACTAATAATTAAATTATTTTATAATAGATACTAAATTTATATTTATCATTTATATTTCTTATTTTAGCTAGTTTTAGTAAGCTAAAAGTTAATTAATTATATATATTTTACCTTATCTATTGTTAAGCTTTTCTACTTTTATTTCTTTTAAAAAAAAGAAAGCTAAAAGAATATATTATAAGATTTATTTATAGTAAGTTCTAAAGAGTAAGAATATAAGAAACTTAAATAAAAGGTAAAATAAAATAAAAGGAAAGAAAGAAAGTAAAAAGAAAAAAAGAAAAAGCTTAAAGAATCAAAAGAATAAAGTATAAAAAAAAGAAAGAAAAACTATATATATATATAAAGAAAGCAATAATAAGTATATATAGATAGAGTATTATATATAGTAAAAGATATACTTACTATTATAAGTAAAGATAGAGTATATTAGTATTTTAATCTTTTTTCTTCTTCTTTCTTTTTATTATTTATTATTAGATATAATGGTAGAAGAAACATAGGTAAGACAGCTGATTAAGTTGTCAGATTGTTGTTAGGTTATTGTCAGGTTATAATATAGGTTTAAGACAGTATTATAAGCCTTTAAGAGCCTTATCTATATATTCTTAAGGCCTTATAGCCGAACGCTTAGGCTAGCTTAAGGAGTATCTACATCGTCTCTAGAATAAATCGAAAGTTGCCTTAGAGGCTTATATAGGCCGCCTTGTGAGGCTGACACTACCCTTATGGCAGCCATCGTAGGCCCTTAGGAGCCTTCTTTATGACCTACCTTCTTAACGTCGTAGGCCCTCTTAGGAGCCTGCCACCTTTCTATCATTAGGCTTATCTTAGTTATATAAGCTTTAAATACTATAATATATCTTATATATTATATGATAAAGTAGGAAGGAAAAGAGTATAAATAAAAGAAAAAGAAAGGAAAAGGAAAAAAAAGAGGAAAGAAAAGAAAGTAAAGAAAAAAAAGTTAGTTTAGTTAAGAGTTAAACCTAAAGCTTTGTAGATTATCATAATATACTTTTCTATTATATAGAAAAGTAAATTATAGTATTAATATATACTATATTATTATTATATTATCAAGCCTTATTTTAGAGTTGATTATATGATTCTTTTTCTTTTTAGATTATATTAAGCTTTTTATTTTATAACTATTATATAGTATAATATACTTTATATTATATTTATTATATTATATTATATTATGTAACTAAAGCTTTTATTATTATAATAGTAGATATAATATCTTAATTTTATAGTTAATCTTAACTTAATATTTATAAGATAGTTTAAGACTATATACTTATATAAGATTTTCTTTATCTTAAGATTATTTCTACCTCTTAAAGTTAAGATTATCTTTCGTATATCTCTCCTTCTTCTTCTAACCCTAACTAGACCATACTAAAATCCACACCCTTAAACTTTAACCATCTATATCTCTACCACTATGCCTCTATAGATTATATACTCTTATATTTATTATCATACTGTTATCTTCTCTTATCTAGTCCGACTTATAGCTATTTTATCGTATGAGAACCTGGGGATATCTACCTCCTATTTCTAAGAGGATATCTACCCCCTAGTCTTTTCTTCTCCGTCCGTACGCCCCATACAACGGCCAGGGGATATGCTGCCAGCATATGTCGCGCCATGGCGGCCAGGTATAAATAAAAAGAAAAGAAAGGAAGGAAAAAAAAAGTAAAGAAAAAGAAAAAAAAGTTAGTTTAGCTAAAAGTTAAACCTAAATATAACGGGCTAGATAGATAGT